TGAGATTCAAATGGTCCATTGAATTGTTGAACCACTTTCAGAGCATGGTGGTGCCTTCTCTTCTCTAGACCTCCTGACCTCTTTTAAGAACTTCCTACTTGAAGTCCAAGGAAAGGCAGAGGAATACCAGTTTAGCCTTCCCAAAAAAACCCATAGAGGCATAGTTTTTCTCCTAGACATTGGGTTGAGTTGAATCAGAGCATTAGGAATATGGGTTGCTATTGTGACTTATTGGGAAGGGTATCAGTGGTGAGTTCCAGGAGGTACGGCCTGGTACAATTGTACCAGTGGCAGCTGAGAGCAGTGGTCACTGTACCATAATGGTGTTTCAGTGGCCCCACCCACCTGCCCCTGTTCCTTGCCTCTTTTTGAGGGAAATGGGCCAATTGTGCACATGCACATAGCGTACGGCGCCTGCGTGACCTCGATGAGCAGCTGGGGTGCTGCAGGGAGGTGGTGTTCACAGGCGTGCACAGTGCACATTCTGGGGGTGGACATCTGGCTCTGTCGCAGCATACCAGTTGTGAGGGGATCCAGAACCCACCACTGAAGAGTATGATATATTTATACTGGTTTTAGTGGTTTTTCTGTAAATTATTTAGAATTTTTGTGTGAGATAGATAGTTATTTAAACTCTATGAATAAATAACTAATTACTCCTTGTTCTGTACATTTTAAGCTGGCAGAAGCAAATATTATAGACCATATTTATTGTTCATTGCCCAGATTCATTTGAATGGGCAATACACAAATCTTATAAAATAAAGTAATGAGGTAAATATTGATCCATGCATTCTGAAATGAACAATGCCAGTGGAGGTAATCCCAAACTAATCAAAATGCCTTTTATTGGAAAGAAACTGGCATTGTGTTCTATTGTTTATATGTGCTTTGACCTCAAGCTAAAATTATTTTTAGATAAGTATTCTGTTAGCAAGACAAAAATAGGTTTATACATTGCAAAAGTAAGTACAGGATTCAACCATCCTAACTTTCATGCTCTTATTTGAATCATGCCCTTTCTTCACCAACTGGAATAAATACAAGAGAGTTATTTGCTCCACCCTGATAGAATAAACAGTGTCAATAACATACCTACTCACTATGTTTTTGCTAATTAATCAGCTTCTTAGAAGCCAGTGTTTCTACTTGTTCTTTTAGCCTACTACTAAAGATATCTACTGGTCTTTTACTACAACTACCAAACAAAAAAAACAACAACCACACAATATCCATAAAAAGTTTTAATTGGAAAATTATATTATGTATGCCATATTATTAAATACAAATAAAGAACAATTTATAACTAATTAAAAAAGGTAATACTGGAAAATTTCCTTCAGAATGTGTCAAAGATTCTTTATAGAGATTCTCAGTCATCTAGGTCATGGTTGTCCCAATGATGCTTTTTTTTGCTTTTTTTATTTATTTGAAGACGTTTTGATTTTCATCCAAGAAGCTTATGTAGCCTATTGAACTAAAGAAGCTTCTTAGATGAGATCTGAAATCTCTGCCATTTGAAAAATGTTGCCATTTGAAAAAGCATCTTTGGGATGAAGATTTTCAGTCATCCAGGCAGAGTTGTCTGGATGTTGAGTCATGGCAACTGAACTTATTTTTTTGTTGGTTTGAGACATTTCACTGACTGGCTTTTTCAGTCTGAACAAGTTGGTTAGTGGAATCAGAGTAGAGTAGAATACAGGTAGAATCTGAGGTTGGTGTGGGAATACCTCTAAAAATTTTAGGAGTTGGCACTTTCCAACTCCTCTTGGCCAATTTAGAGTCTCCTAACCAACTTGGTCAGACTGAAGAAGCTACTTGGACAGACAGTGAAACATCTCAAATTAACAAATTAATAAATCCAGTTGCCATGACTCAACTTCCAGACATTCCTTCAGAACATACAGCACTGCATTGTTAATCAGTAAGCAAATGTGGACTGATGACATGGTCAGTTTAGTCATAATTATTACTTTAAATCTATTAAGTCAGAGTTGTTATGAAGTCTGTGTTGCAAAAGGTTTTACTGGCTAGAATTTAATTTTCCTGTTACTGGTATCAGACTGACTTGTTGGGTTAGCATAACCTAAAAAGGTTTTTGTGCTGTTTGATGTAGATGCATTGAAAGATGAATTTTGAAAGTATCATTTAGTAATACAATACCAAGTATCTAATTTTTCCATCTACCCGTATATTAATCTGCTTAAAGATCACATTTTTCAAACAATATTATATACATGGTATCATAGAGTATAATGTAGAGAATGGGAGGAATACTATACCTGTTTAACAATTATTATTTTTCTCTTTAGTTGTAAATTTCAGTTTTCAAATCTTTTCTTTTCCTTCATAATATTATTACCATGAGATTATTATGACCAACCTTTCCCATATTCTTTAAATTCTAGATTAAATGTTACCCATTAATTATTCTAGGATTTATATTATAATATAAATATTATAATATTCTAGGATATTATATTAATCTAATATTATTCTTTTCCCCCCTTCTGCTGAAAACATACATATATTCTTATATCTGTTAATCAGTCTTGATAGTTAGAAAGGGAAAACTGTGATGCAGGATAACAATAGGCAATATTTGTTGCCTAGGGCAAAATACATTGCCTTCTGAAACCAAAAGAGAAATGATGATAGTGTCTTATGACTTCCGGTATCAAAACAAAAGTTTATTTTGAAAGTTTAACAACGTCTCATTTTTCCTTTATAGCTAAGGAATGTGGGACTGCACTGTTAGAAGCATAGAGAGTAGCAATTAAAGTCCATCATTTTGCTCTGTAATTGCTATCTTTTCTTTGTTTAAAAGCTACACTGACTTGGGCAGAGTTGAATTATACTAAATCCTTTTCTCACTATAAGTTCATAAAGCATGCATAATTAGTATCTTAAGGCACAGACTTGGTAAATGTCAGCTTTGTGAGGCAACTTTGTCATATTAGGACTAAGCTTTCCTGAAATCTTTGGGACTTAATTTATATTATTTGCATAGACTCTGGTTTTAGTTAGAGATTATGCTCTCAAAATACATTTATAATCACAAATTCATTTTTTTCAGTGGTATCTTAAAATATTGCATTTAAGAAAATTGTTATCCTCTATAGAGGGACGCAGTGGCTCAGTGGCTAAGACACTGAGTTTATCGCTCAGAAAGGTCGGTAGTTCTGCGGTTCAAATCCCTAGCACTGAGTAATGGTGCCCAGACCTGGATATTGTTTGGTCTCATAGCTTTTATTCAGACAATGGAGTTTGTGGCCATAGTTGTGGCCATAGTTTTGAAAGTATAAAAGATACAACTGCTCTTGGATCTCAGTTCTTTGGCTATTACAATGCTTTCTTCTTGCCTTTGAAGGTGATTTTGAAACTTAACTTCGTAATGAACATACTGGCCCATGTACTCACAAATAGAAGTCAGTTCAGTAGAATAACAGCTTCTTTATCAGAGATTACACTATATATTTGGCAGATAAAATATTGCTCATCATCTAACCTATATGTTTGCATCTTGAACATGTGTTGCATATCTTTACCATCAGTGAAATGTGTCTTCTTTGCAAATGTTGTAACATTATCTACCCCTCAATAGCAGGATAGTGTTCCACTTGTTGATATTAAAAACAACCTTCTCTAACAAGGCTTTCAGATTATAATTGCCCATTTTTGGGGGGGTCAAATGTTACCCACTTGAGATGTTATCAGTTTTTGTTTAAGCCTTTTCACTTTTTGTGATTTTATAGTGTTTTATTTTTGTGATTTTTTAATAATTTGGGTAGCATTGAAATCCTGCTGCAGTAAATCAATCAATAAATGAGAAAAATAAGATATAGGCAGACTTTGATTTATGACCACAATTTTGTTGCTTGGTGAAACATTTGTTAAGTGAGTTTTGCTCTATTTCGTGCCACAGTTGTTAAGTGAATCACTGCCATTGTGAAGTTAGTAAATGGTTGTTGAATGAATCTGTCTTCCATATTGACTATGCTTGTCAGAAAGTTGCAAAAAGTAATTACATGACCCAGGGATACCATAAATATGAGTCAGTTGCCAAGCATCTGAATTTTGATCATGTGACTATGGGGATTCTGCAATGGTTGTAAGTGTGAAAAATGGTTATGTCACTTATTTCAATGCTATTGTAACTTTGAAACAGTCACTAAATGAACTGTTGGACTGAGGACTACTTGATTTTATATCACATGTGAAGTAGTTCTGAGAACATACACAGTAGGTTTACTGATCAGTGTGCTGTCTTAAGTAGTTTACGAGCAGCCTATTTTTTTCTTTGCTTGCTTGACCATCCATGTGCTAGTATAAAACAAAATATGACTGTTCAAACAGTAGCTTATTTGAAAACATCATAGTACATAAATGGTATTACTGTAATTAAGAATGAAGGTGGATCTACGTGTCCCAGGATAATGTTGCATGGTCTAATCTGGGTCGGTCACCACCTCTGGTTCCAGTGACTGACCCAGATTGGATCCTGAGGTATTAATTAACTTCATTAAGATTTCTATCTATCTTATTTTTCCCAATATTCCCCAATTATGAATCTTCCCTTTTTATTTTTATCCAATCTAATTTTATTCCATTTTTATGCATTACTTCCCTTTCTACTATGAGATAGATAACACCATATTTGCTTGCAGGTTAAATTCCTTGGTTTTGACTCAAGTCTTATGAGCGTTGTTCAAAGCACCAAAGACAAAACAAAAGAAAAAAGTTTTATAATTTTCCAGCTATAAGATTAGTTAATGCTATATTAAACCTGAACCATTTATTTCCCTATAGTTTAACAACTTTTTTTCTTCACTGTTCCCATAAGGGATAAGCAGTGGTTAATGTGATGCTATGAAATAAATAGTATTTTAGAAGGATTATCTAATTATTTCACCATAATTTAGACTACAAAAATTATTAAGGAGTTTGAAGATGTGTTGTATTATCAATTTTCTTTGTCTCTGGTATTTTGGTATTTACAGTGATGAAGTTCCAGGCAGTCAGTTGGTTACAGATAAGTTTCACATTGATTGGGATTCTGTGCTTGTCAACTCTGATAATGTCATCATAGCTCAATTTGATGGAAGAGGGAGTGGATTTCAAGGACTCAAGATTTTGCAAGAGGTTCACCGTTCATTAGGATCAGTGGAAGTGAAGGATCAGATAGCAGCCGTAGAGTACGTATGCGCAAAATTTTAATCAATTTTTAAAAATTCTTTCTTTTGATATGACAGATAGAAAAGCATTGTGTTTTATATCTCTACCATATTGGGTTAATGGAATTTGTGCACCATTTAAGAGGAATAAAGTTCAATAAAACATCACATCTGCTTTTAGGTTTAATCTAACTAGTCTACAGTCAGTAATTGACACTTTTACTAGAAAAGTATTGCATGGTATGGAATGCATTCCAGATGTTGTATACTATTGAAATGCAATAAATTACTTCTAAATCCTATAGATATAATGAATAGATGACCTATTATCAAACATATGATGTTGGTCCTGCTGCAACAAAACTACATCTACATGATTTTAGTGCCTTAAAACAATTTATTGTTAGTTATGATTGCTGTTCTTTCACAACTTTTCTATTTTTTTAAAAAAAATATGTGTATTACATCTGGTCCTGTTTTCAAAATATAGATATATGGATGAATTGAATAATTGCATCTGATTTAAAAACAGGAGTTAAGCATTTCTGTACTATAGGCATTCTCTTCATCTTCTTGTCAAACTTAAATTTTGGGTTTATCATAGCCAGTCTTATATTAAGCCAGTCTTACTATATATGCCTTCTTAATTCCAAGACATTGCTTGAAGGACAGAATATATGCAAAGCATTTAACAGGTTTGATCTTTAAAGGAACTTCCTGCCCCCAGATGTTGTAAAGGGAGTGTACAATTTGCTGTGTTAAAAAAAAAGTAGGATTAATTTGCCAAGTAATCTTGTTCTTTGTCCCAAGGGATTGTGAATGTTGAATGCACCAGGAGAATACCAAGATCAAAAGGGAGGACCTAAGAAGATTCAAACAGTTCATGCTGTTTATGCTATTCAATTCTAGCTTAATAAAACATACAAACGCAGCCAGTGTACTGCAATACTTTATGGTTTTATTATATTTTTAATTGAATCCCATGCTGGGATAGCTATTGCAATTACCTGGGGTCAAAATAGCTATTTAATATTTAAAAAAAAATCTTTCCGCACCATATCTGATTAATGTCTTATATGAGGGGATTCACAGTTTTGAAGATAGCGACAATTTAGCAGTTTAATTCAATCAAGAAGGAATTTGTACTCCAGTGCATCAGGTAGAGAAGTAGGTGGATAGGCAGAAGACAAATAAACAAATTATTTACATACAGAAAAAATATTGTTCAAGCATGGGGGGTTTTTGTAATGTTTTTTATAATCTTTTCTATTACAGATACTTGCTGAAGCAATCATTTATTGATGGTAACAGACTGAGCATCTTTGGAAAGGTAATTTTATTAAATTAATAAGATGTTGCAATCTGTCAATAGAATGCTATACATTTCTGAAGCTTTTACCATTTAGTTATTTAATTAGCTTCAACTAATTATAGGAAAAATAATTTTGATGATATTCTGCTTTTAATTTAAAGTTTTCTTAAATGAGTCTGATTATTTGATTATTTGAATTACCTGCCATTTGAATTTGGCGCAAAATCTACTTGAGAATCCTGGTTCAAAATATCAGGAAATAAATACCAGACGGGGATGGGAAGTGTTATTTTGGTTTTGACTCTCTCAACAGATTTTTGGACTAACAACTATGGCATACTTTATAAGTGTCTTTAGATTGTTGTGGTCTGCTATAAAAGTCAGATTCTAAAACACTTTTTAGAAAGTAATGGAGCTTCTAGAAGAAGAAATGACAGACTGAACATAGCACTGCAAAAAAGTAGATCCAATGAACGCAAAGCCATGAGTCAACCAGCTATTTGTAAATTCTCTAGACAAAAAGAGAAAGTTGGAGTGTCCATAAGTGCTCCTCATGAGGAGCCTGCAAGACAATGGTCTCCAGTGTGCTTTGAGCTTGAGAAACAAGGAAATAGCAATCTTGCTCAAACCATGATTAGTGTCTATAAAAAGACATTCCGTTTGCATACCTCCTTTTCTAATCACATTCATAAATTGCTTATTATTTCCTTTTCAGCTTTTTGAAATCTTTGGATCAATGAATCTGAAGGTTTAAGTCTGCTTTTAGCCCTTAATGAAAGAACATTTGAACCTACAAACCTTTAAAAAAAACAATAAACAGCAAAGGGTTGATTAAAACTTCAATTTTTGAAAGATGAATTTAAGGTTCATCATATGATTGATAAGATTTTTAAGATTAATTATAAAGAATACTTCCCATGGGAAAATGATTTTGTTTTGATTTTTAAAAAGACACTAAAAGGAACTAATTATTTCAATTAAAGGAGAATGACAGTTAGAGAATGGTGCAAAACATTCCAAAACTGGAAATATTAAAGGATATATTTTTACAAAAAAATGGAATCAGAAAATAATATTAACAATATCAACAATGATATCTACCTCTATGGATAGATGGTGTCTAAAAGATGAAATAGAAGAGGAGCAAGGTTCCTCTCTAAGACAGCATTTAAAGTGGACTTTAAAAAGATAGCCTACTAAGATTACAATGGAAAAGATGCTACACTGGACATACAAAAGAAACTGTTGAGTTTTAATAATTAAAAGGATTATACAAACAACAAGATAGTGACCTGGATAATTTTTCTATGTTGGATTTACAAAAGTCCAATATAAAGTTAAAGCTTTAAACAATCTCAAGAGAAGGGACAAAGAAGAAAGAAAAAGAAATCAGATTCTAGGACCGTGATGGCAAATTTATGGCATGCGTGCCACAGGTGGCACGCGGAGCCATTTGTCAGGGCACCAGTGGTGAGTTTCAAATTTGTTTAGAACCTATTCTGTAGGTGTGACCTATTCGTGGAAGTGGCTCGGTGGTCATGTGACCGGGTGGGAGCAGCTTGGCAGCCATGTGACTGGATGGGTGTGACCAACTTGACATCACTGATGCACACTCAGTCACATGACACCCCCCCTCCAACCAAGCCATGCCCACAATGGCAAAAATTATTGTGTCTCCGATGAAGGGAAGGAGGGGGAAAGAGAGGGGCAAAACTCACAAAAAAAGACTGCTGAAGGATTTAGGGCCAAAATTGCATGCTGGGGAAAGCAGTTGGGTTGATCGGATAAGGCAGGACAGAGAGGAATCCGGAAGAAAACTATCACATGCTGGGGAAAGCAATTGGGTTAATCGGAGAAGGCAGGACAGAGAGGAATCCGGAAGAAAACTATCACATGCTGGGGAAAGCAATTGGGGTAATTGTAGAAGGCAGGACAGAGGAATCCCAGAGAAAACTATCACACACTGTGGAAAGAACTTTGGGAGATCTTTGGGTGATAGTTTTCTCCTGGATTCCTTATTGTCCTGCCTTCTCCAATAAACCCAACTGCTTCCCCAGCAGTGATAGTGTGATAGTTTTCTCTTGGATTCCTCTCTGTGCTGCCTAGCAATTTGACTCCTTGCAGCAAACAGCCTGGTCAGCTTCAGCACAGCCTAATTTAGCACGAGGAGCTGATTGGCAGTTGGATCTGCCTCCAGGAATACCTCCTATCAGCTTTCCAGACTGCAAGGATCACCACCGCCAATCAATGCCGGTGCCACCCATTGCCACTGCTGCTGCCTATCTTCACCACCTGGAATGGGCAAAAAATGGAATGCACGGAGGCCAAAATATTGTGGCACCTGTCCAGAGACTTGTATATCTGTCACCTTGCCTTCCTGCAAGCAATCTCTGAAAAATTGGTTGTGTCCCCAGGCTTAAAGCTAAATGGGTTGAGAGGGTTCCCTTTAATGGTGGGTACAGTGGAAAGTTGTGATATATCATAAATAAATGAATACAAACAAAATATTCAGCCAAATTTTGATGACAATGCTTACAAGTATTAAAAATACATAGAAGCCCACAATATATAACTCCTGGTATTCAGCGCAGATTCAAAGAGCAAATGCAGTTTGGACTATGTACATTCATAGGTAGCACTTCTCGGGGTTACCTTAAAGTTGTTTCGCCTTTTCCCGGGATCTTTCCCAACTTCCATAAACAATTGTTAGAATTGAGGTGCTTAAGGGCTCAGCGTGAGGGTTCTGTGTGTACCTGTGTGCACACAGAATCACATTTTTATAGCCCCAATAAAGAGGATTTGTGCAATTATACTTGCTTTGGTATTCTTGCACAAAATTAATGGCTTGGAAAAATGTAGCAGTAGTTTGCTATTAAATGTCCTATTAAATTCATATTTTACATGCATAGTCACTTACAGTCCAATGTGCTCTAAGTATCCCCCTTTTTCTACCATCTGTGCATGATATCCTTAGTTAGTCTCTCATTTGTTGTATTCTGTTGCCTTTGGCATAAATAGATGAGCCAGACAAATGGTTTCACCTTTAGCAAAAGTATTTTTACTGCCACGTCAGTGCATCTCTGCTTCTCAACCTTCACCACCAAGTGTTCAGATGCTGATGTTTGCTTCTTTCATTTGTAAGAGGGGAAAACATCAAATTCATCTATTCTTTATGTCTTTCTCATTTACAATTCATACAATGAATGCAATTCTGTTCTTGTTCCTTCTTTACCTCCCACCTGTCGCCAGCCACTCCGCCCAGCCCAGGCACAAAGGAAGTCATACCATTCAGTTTAAAACTAAAAAAATAATAATTCCAATATTCAGCAGTAACTTTCAGTCATTACTAATGGTTTGGCGTACATTTCCAAATCTGTGACCGTTTCAATTAAAATATTCCTTAGTATTGAATATATTCTTTACAGTATATATTCAACACTAAGCCTCACTGCTGTTTTGGGGGGAAATTCCAAAAGTCATAGGAAAGTAATACTTTTCTAAGATCAACATATACAAAACAGAATGCAAGCTTTTGTCCAAAATTCTTCATCAAGCAAGATGTTACAAAGGCTCAGTAGATGGTGTGTTGCAGCAGTCTTTGATGTATCAGTAGAAATAATCATTTTTAATAATGTCATAGTAATCTAATACATTTTTCTCGTTTGCTAATCCCTGCTCTAAAACACACTAAATATTTAACTGAATTTAATTTAATTGAATATTTACGGGTAACTTAGAGTGAAGAAGGAAGAATTGTTCTTTCAGTGAAATGAGCAGCATATAAATTTAAATGAATAAACAAACAAACAAATAAAAAAAGCTCTCCAATTCCATCTCACATAATTACTGTTACAATTACTATTATTTTTAGTAGGAATGGAAGAAGAAAAAAGTTGACATCTATTTTCTGAGAAACCTACTTCTGGCGTAGCCACATCAATTTTAAAACATTATTAATAATTTCTTTTATAATTGATTCATATTAATAAGGTTATTGCAAATATAACAATTATTTTATCTGTTCCATGCTTAACTTTAACTGAACATCTATAGTTGAAAAACTACAAGAAATAAAAGTATACATTATATAAAATATTCAACTATGAATTAATATATGAAATATATAATGTTGGGTATTTTATAAAACACTAATTCTTTAAAATAAAAGAAAATACATTTTACATTTTTAAACAGATACTAGAGTTAGCAAACTTGATGTTTATTTTATATTTATATATCTATTTATCACAACTGATTTGCAAACTACTGATTTACTTTCTTGAAATCCCACTGACTATTCAGAAACAAATATTATAGCAATCTTGGAACTTTCTGTGTTTACATCAGTGTAGATAATTATATTATTTGCCTAAAAGTTTTTGCTCTGAGAATGGTGTAAGTAAGTAAAAAGGAACTATAACTTTTAAGCACATACTCATTTTCTACAAGCATTATTTTAACAAACAGAAGAACATTTTCACATGTGTTTGAACTGTTACCTTCACTCTGTCTGAAAAGTTTTGAGTCACACTCAACTAGGGTGTTTCTCACCCTAGTTAAATTGATTATCCTAATCATCTTTAAGGTTGGATTAGCAAATCCTGCTCCAAATATCCATGTGCAACTTTGGCAACCCAATAGCATCATAGTTCTTTGAATTAAAAACAAGAGCATGTGATTACTGAATCAGTAGCACACATATCTGTGGTGATATATTAATGCTGTAAAGAAGGAAAACAAAAGTGAGGTCAATATTTTTTCAATGGATTTTTTTTTTCATTTCCAGTTTCTTCCTTCCTGTTCAGTAAACTGCTAAAGGAAAGAGATTATTTGGCTCACTGGTACAAAGTTTTGGAATTAAACTCAGGGCTGTATGGCCATTTCTGATTGCATAAAATAAATAAACATAATTGATGAACAGCAGCTTTGTTGATTTACATTAATGAAAATGATTAAAGAGCTACAGTAATTCATCTTGTGTATGTTTAATACTGGCGTACAAGCATTTCCGTAATGTCGGATATTATTTGACCTTCTTCAAACTGTATGCTGAAGCAAAGCATCCTTTGCCATATTTTAAAGAAATAACTTTTGATTTATGCCTACAGAAGCGTAAGAAAAACCATAGAAATAAATATAAAAGTGCATAAGAAAGAATAGTCTCATCAAGGCAGTAATGAGCACATTATAACTCACTTCAGTTGTTTCCTAGGGTTATGGAGGTTACCTTGCATCAATGATTTTGAAGTCCAACGAAAAACTTTTCAAGTGTGGAGCTGTGATTGCACCAATTACAGACATGCGACTGTATGGTGAGCGGGTTGTATCATTCAGTTTGTTCCTCAGGTAGCTCGTTTTCCCTTTCTTTATTGCAGCTGAGACACTATCTAATATTACGAATGCAGGCAGTTCACCTACTTTAAAAAAAAGCACAATCAGGTTTAGCATATATAAATAAATCTGCATTTAAAATGGGTGGTGCCCTTAGCGCTTTTACACTTTTCCACATCACATAGCAATGGCTGCCCCATAGCAGTACCCTCGGAGCCAGAAGTAATCAAGGTGTCTGCATGTTGCTCCCCGCTTTGCCTGCTGACAGGATGGATGTTATTCAGGAGGCTTCAAATGGGATTGTGCTGGATGATGAGCCAGGAGATTTTGTTTTCTGCTGAGGATAGTCTGCATCTCATCTCCACTGGGTTCTGTAGCAGAGCTTAAATACAGTATAATTGGCCATACAATGTTAGTATGTTCCTCCAAAAGTAATTTAACAGCTATTAAGTTTTCCTGTTTCCTATGTACAGCATCTGCCTTTTCAGAAAGATACCTGGGCATTCCATCTAAGGAAGAAAATGCTTACCAAGTGAGTAAGAGATTCTATGGTTCTGGATGGGGTGCCGAGATATTAAAAATGCAAATCGGTCACAGATGTGCATGTTTTCTCCTTTCCAAAAGGGATCCAGCTTATTGCACAATATTCATGGTTTTATGGAAGGAAATGTGTTAATCATCCATGGGACAGCGGATAGTGAGTATTTACACAGAAGCATTTTCCTAGTTGCCATTTGTCTTCTGCAGAAGTTCAGTGAAGGATAAGCCTGAAGCATATGGAAGCTTTTGTCTGCCCTTAGAGATCCCATTGTGAGATTCCATTGACAATTTCCTACCCAAACAAGTGACACTACTGTTTTATAACCCTTTGTAGTTGTAGAGACCAATTTGTTTAAACTTTATGAAATGCAATGCCTTGGTTGGCAGGCAGCATGCATTAATAACTTTTGAACATCAAAATTTAATCATCACTTAAATTATTCCTGTTCTGCTGCAAATTGTGTAAGGTGGAACAAAGATATACAATTTGAAGTACCAAATTGACCTTCTTGATACATTTATAGTTAGATTACTGAAATTTCCCAATTAAGATAGGCTATTTTCTTTTCATGGCTTCCATTCAGCCATGTGATTTATAAAATAAATCTTTGCACCTCACTTCTATGTTACTCTTTCTTCTCTTTGCTCTTATCCTTTGGGCTGCCTAGCTTTGTGGTCATATTCATTACCTTTTGCAGCTTGTGTGTCCATTACAGGCCTGTTTCACAGACCTATGGTAAGATTGAGCTTTCCATATCTGACCATGAATTTTGTGGGAGGGAGTCATCAAAGGATCATTGCCTCCCACTTCTATATGTTTCATCTGTATTCATGCTTCAGGCATTCTTTCTTCATAAGGGGATATTGCAACAGAAACACGGTATGCGAAGAGGATGACATTTAATGCTTAGCATAAGAAATATAAATAATATATGAATGGGTAAGATTCTTCCCAGGCATTTGATGAGGCTACCTGGCTCTACCTTTGAAGTGAGCTTTTCTGCATTTCTGCATACTAGATTATTATTTTTTCTTTGTGGCCAATGTGGCTGCTTTACCAGGTAGGTACCAAGTGTGTCCAAAGTAAACAAGTGCTTAGGCATTCCAGGCAGGAGAATTGAAAAGTGTACAATACATTTGGAAATTGTTGAATATAGCCTCAATGTAGAAAATAGCAGCCTATCGAGAGCTTTTCATTCATAAAAGTCCATAGTTATGAAATTAAACCAAAATTCACAATATTTTTAACCTAATATCATACAGGATAGATGACACAAATATATTTGCTGCATTTTACCAAGGAAGTTTCACAAAGATATCTTAGTTTCTCAAACTACTTTCCTGAGAGGGAAATTGTAAATTACATATTAAAGATGAAGGAAGGAAGGAAGGAAGGAAGGAAGGAAGGAAGGAAGGAAGGAAGGAAGGAAGGAAGGAAGTCTTCTGAATGTTCTAAATTCATCATTTTTCATGTTTTCTTTACCATTCCACTGTAGCCATCTCTGAGCTTTCAGCATATAGGAAGTATTTCTGAAATTCAGATTAAATGTTAAGCAAAGCTGTGGATTATACCAGTAGCAGGGACATGCAGTCACTAGAGGCAGGGGAGGCGTGGCCTCACCAGTCATGAGGAAAAGGAAATAATTTTAAAGATTTTTTTTAAAAAATAATTAAAGCCAAGGTAGTTGCTGCCAGATTCCAAGTCACAGTGACTTGGAACAGTGCTTAGTGTTAACTATAGGAGGAGGCCAGAGAACTAGGGGCCTCATGTACATAAGCAATTTTTCACCTTTTAAGAGTTAAGCAAGGGTTAAAAAGCAAAAAAAATTGTATGCAAAGGAGGCACGTGGTTCTCTCGCCTCCTCCTATAGTTAACACTAAGCACTGTTCCAAGTCACTGTGACTTGGAATCTGGCAGCGACTACCTTGGCTTTAATTATTTTTTAAAAAAATTCTTTAAAATTCTTTCCTTTTCCTCATGGCTGGTGAGGCAGCTTTTTAGACTTGTGGACTT